CCGAGCCTCCGGCCCCCGGCCCGGCCCCCGAGCACCCGCACGGCCGGCCCGGTATGTCCCGATTTTCCCGGACATGTCTGGCTTTTTGGGCTTTCCCCCCGGACGGGGATTTGGAGCCCAAAAAGCCGGACATGTCCGGGAAAATCCGGACGTATGGTAACCCTAGACAGCTGTCTCTCTGGGCCCCTCTCATCACAATAAATGTGTACGTCATGAGGCTATTCTAGCGAGCAACATTTTTAATAAAGTCCAGGCTCTGGGTTTTTTTCATTGTAATTTGTATAGATAAACAAAATATATTAAACTTATCCCTCCTTTTCCAATATTTTAGACCACCAAGCATCTCAGGTGCTTCCACATCACAACTGTGTTTGACATGTAAGGAAGATATACAGGTAAGAACTGTGTGGGGTGTTTTGTTTTGTTTTCTATTGTTGGGGTTCCCCCAAGACCTCTTCAGTTCCCTAAGAACTCAGTTTGGCTCCAGTCTCATCATTCAGCATATAATCAAATTACATTTGAGTTGACTGGACTTAAGTGAAGGGGTTGGGTACAGGGTATGCCACACGTCCAACCCAATTCCTTTATATACACTTACAGTGCATCACATGTTTTGAGATTGGCGTTGTCTCTTTGGGCTGGTCTACACTTGGGGGGGGGGGGGAAATCAATCCAAGATACGCAACTTCAGGTACACGAATAGCGTAGCTGAAGTCGAAGTATCTTGGATCGAATTACCTGGGGTCCAGATGGCGCAGGATCGATGGCCGCGGCTCCCCCGTTGACTGCGCTACCGCCGCTCGCTCTGGTGGAGTTCCGGAGTCAACGGTGAGTGCGTTCGGGGATCGATATATCGCGTCTTAACGAGCCGTGATATATCGATCCCGGATAAATCAATTGCTACCCGCCGTATCGGCGGGTAGTGAAGATGTACCCTTAGTAGGAACTAATCCCTGTACAGGAACTAATCCCTGTACAGCATGCTCTACTCACACGCTGTCCATGCACAACTTACTCTTTACCTCATCTTACTGTTCTAGGCTTATCTGATCCATTGTTATCTTGGCCATTAAGTGATTCCCTGGATGTTTCTCCTTATCTTAGCTAGTACAGACATTCAGTTTCCAGCCTGCTGATCCATTTACCTCCCTAAACCCATCTCCCAAGAAATGAGGCCTCACCCATGTCCAATTACTCACGCCAAGTCAGGCCTGCATCTGCCACAAAATGGAAAATTATTGGAAGCAGGTGGAAATTTTAGCAGCAGATGACAATGAAATCTTTTGCATCTTAACAGCAACATGTGTTCTGTATATGCCACGTATATTACTAAAGCTATTTTAACACTGTTAGTGAAAATATTCCAAACTCTACCAGTAGAGCCATGTGCCTTGATTACTATGGGTTCAACTGTAAAATGATCTGAAAAACCTTTTTGATACATAGCAATGACATGATTTTAAATTGCAACAATTTGAGATGTTTTTGGTTTAGAACCCTGCACTGGTGTCCATGGGGAGGCTGGAAATCTCCTTTTTCTGGTGATCCTGTTTCTAGCCCTGAAAGGCTGATAGATATTAAAGCTGTCAGTGTCTAGGACTCTGATCTGAGTCTCAGGCAGTTGTATTCTTTTGGGGGAGATTCCACTATATCTATTGTGACAAAATGGCCAATGTTGTTATGGTGAGTCCCATGCTTCTCTTGGCGGGGGGCTAAGACACCACCCTTTACCCCTGCTCTTGGGGTGCCCAGGGCCCCTCTAGTGGCTTGGGAAGGTGGTAGAGCAGGGAAGCGGGGGAGGGGTCTGGGTTTACTCCATATTCTGAGACCCAGCCCCTCTCAACCCCAGCAGGTTTCTTACCCTCTTCCCCCTTGAGTAGGGTTACCCTCGGTCCTTGGACGCTGGGGGAGGGAGTCTCCCTTACTTCGGTTCTCTGGTCTTTCAAGTCTCAGCAACGCACCTCCAAGCTCCAGTCCTCTCTCCTTCCTCAGACAACCTGACTGCCTGAAGCAGGGGGTTTTATTAGGGTCCTGGCAGGGTCTTAATTGACTACAGGTGCTCCAATTAACCTGTTTCAACCCTCCCTAGTCTACAGGGAACCACGCCTTAATTAGCCTAGGGCTTATATATTTCCCCTCTCCCACTGCTCCCTGGCCCTCATGTATCGTATTACCTATCTCTCTCTCTATATATATGAATGAATTAATGAAGCAAGCCTGACCCAAAGCCCCATATCCAAGCATAGCCCAAAGATGGATCTATGTTCATCTGTTTTACCACTGAGCACTACCTGTGTCTTCATTTCACACCACTTCTCTCAGTGATCTTTTCTTGCAGAAATGGATGGGTTTACTGATTTGTTTTCCTGCTTAGCTTTAAACATTTTGCTAAACCTAAAACTCTTTAAAAGAGTTCTAATTCACCCCGCTGTAAATACTGACTTCAAAACATATGCATGGTCCAGCTCATTGAACCACATAACCTATAGCACATGTACAGAAATGTACTATTCCTTTGAACTCTGAAATACCAAAAATAAATCATAATATATAAAGTGCTCACACAAATTTATCGGGAAGTACAGTAAGCTTAAACAGGCACTTTGGCATGGGAATGTAGCAGTACTGAATGTACAAGCACAACTTGGCTTTGTTTAGGCAGCTAAATGCCCCACATCTTGCTTTAAAGCAAAGTATACCAGCTAGAAACATTTCAGGCTGTTTCCTCTCTCTCCTTTCAGTATATGTTCAGACATAATGATGGGATTGTATTAGCTGCTGTTCTGGGCTGTACCTCTGAGAGGGCAGTCAACATCCTGAAATCCTCTTTAGCCTGCATGAGGTGTACAGTCCCAGGCAGTGGGGCTGATTCTGTTATCGCTTACTTTGGTGTAAAACAGGATCAACTCCATTGAAGTCAAAGCATTTACGCTAATGTAGAAGCATTGCAGGTGAGGCTGGATTCAAACCCATTGTATTTATGGGTATCTGGCCTGTACCTGCTTTTACCAGACAGCTGGGGTCACCCTAGCCAATTTGTGAAGCGTACTGCTGCAGGAGGCCTCCAGCTACAGCTTGTTCTTTCAGGTGCAGCATCCTCCGTCAGCAGCCAGGGGTTGCAGTGGTGCCGCCTGATGCAGCTTTTGCTTTGTTTTGCGCCTGCTGCTTCCTGCTGCCATCCCTGGTGCCTCTTTGCTTTAGGGGAGGCAGCAAGCAAGCAGCAGGGAGAAGAGCCGATTCTAGGTACAGCACTTGTCCCAGCCAGGGCCAGTGCAACCACTAGGTGCACTAGGCGGCCGCCTAGGGCGCCTAGTGGTTGAGGGCGCCTAAACGCCCGCTCAGGTGGAGTAGAGGTGAGCTGACGCGGGGAGGGCCGCCTGCAGTAACGGGGGGGGGGAGGGGTGCACAGGGGAACCTCTCCCCGCCCCAGATCACCTCCACTCTGCCTCCTCCGCTGAGCACACAGCCCCCGCTTTACTTCTCCTCCAATCGGCACCGCAATCCTGGGAGGGGAGGAGAATTAGAGCAGCGCCAGTGTGCTCAGCGGAGGAGGCAGAGTGGAGGTGAGTTGGGGCAGGCTCCCCGGGTGGGGTTAGCTGCCGTGGGGGGGTGGGGTGGCAGGCAGGGTTAGCTGCGGGGGGGGGGTAGCTGCGGGGGAGGGGGTAGCTGCGGCAGGGGGGCTCCCCAGGTGTGGGGGGGTGGCAGGCTGGGTTAGCTGCCATGGCGGGCGGGGTTAGCTGCTGCAAGGGGTGGCGGGGGGTGGGGTTAGCTGGGTGGGGGGTGGCGCAAGGTTGAAGTTTCGCCTAGGGCGCAAAACTTCCTTGCACCGGCCCTGGTCCCATCCCATACAAGTAGCAGCATGTTTCCTACTCTCCCATGTTTCAGAGATGGTGGGATTTAGGGAAGAAATACTGAGAACAAGAGTGTGTGTGTGTGTGTGTGTGTAATTGGAGACAGCATCTGAATTGGGGGTTTGGATAAACTAGGAAAGTTATGGGTGCTGGATGAACTGAGGGGTCCTGCATGAATGGGGGGCAGGGTGATGGCAGGGCCTGAACTGAGGCGGTGGCAGTAGGGGCTGAAGGGATGAACTGACAGAGACCCGAAGAGGTATGAACTGGGAAAAGGAAGTCTTGGAGAGATCAACTGGGGGTGGATGGCTGGAGCAATGACTTGGAAGGGGACAAACTGGAGATTAACTAGGAAGGAAAGAGGCAGTTGGGAGATGCTGGGGAAAGAAGAACTGTATGGAGATAACAGGTGGAGTCTGAGGTTGAGAAGGAGAGATGAACTGGGGACCTGGATGGGAACTAGGGCAGGAGCTGGAGAGTGGATTAGAGTGGGGGACAAGGGGAATAGAGAGGCTATGTGGTAAAAGGGAGAACACTATACAGAATACAAAGAAGGGGAGCAACAAGGGACAAGGGATAGGTCTGGGAGATGCCATAAGGAGAGAGAAACATGGGAACCCAGAGAATCAAGGAAGAGAACAAATGATAAATATTTAGGAGATTCCAGGAGAGAAAAAGGAGAAGAGAGGGAGATAGAGGAGAGATCAGTGAACAAATGGACCAGAGAACAGGTGCAGTGGAGTCAAAGGTGAGCTAATGTGGATCACTTGGGCAAAGGGGATGGGCAAGAAAAAATGAAAGAAGGGAAAGGAGAGAGAAAGAAGAGAGACACCAGGAACATAAGAGAAGAGAATTTTACAGATCAGGAAAGAAAGGACAGAATGAATCCAAAATGGAAGGAGAGAAACAAAGGGTGAAATCCCATAGTATTTTCCAGGTAGATAGCCCTTTTTCCATTTGGGGGAAGGGACTGGGAGGGCTGTTCCCGGTATCTGTGCTGTATTGACACTGCTAGCTAACTACTCTAGATTCTGCAGTTTAATCACTGAAATTCTGTTGTTCGCTGTCTACATTTTATTGTCACATTTACCTTCTTCAGTGGTAACCTCTCCCACAATCTGAGCTATTGCTGTCTATCCCCTACCTGGCCTCACAGCTCACCAAGACTCCTGCCTGACTGGCTACCCAGCAAGCTTTTTAAACACCCACTAATGACATCAGAGGCCAAGAGCTTTTCTGGTGTAATTGATGGATGTGCTAAAGAGCCTGCTGGACTGCTCAAGTTGCATAAAAACCAGCTACTAAGGGCCCGATCCAAACCCAAAGAAGCTGACCACCCATAGACTTCACTGGTTCTAGATCAGGAAGTAGCTGTGCAATGTGAAGGTAAGAGTTCAGTGCAGGTCTCAGATTCATTTCTTTCAGGGGCATCTCTAAAATCCTCAGATTGCCTCTGCAGCCAGTCTTGATTAACATCTGTAGCGAAGTCTAGGCTAAAGTCTAGCCTGGGGTCTTCATTTTGTGACTGCTAAAACAAGGTGCTTTGCAACAAGAAGAAACTGAGAAATGAGTGAGTTAACAAAATACTAATTCACATTGTATGGGATGGATCAGCATTATTTACAGGTGGCAGTTTTCCAACTGACAGTGCAGCGTGGGAAAGCAGGCAACTTTTGGCCAGAGCTGAGTTATTGAACTTTAAAATCCTATGGGAACTTTTCCTTTTATTTAAATAGTATCAAAGGGCGAGGTAAACTAAATGACTCCCCTGCCCCAAAGGCCTGATCCAAAGCCCAGAAAAGTTAATGGGCATCTTTCTGTTGATGTGGCGGCCTGATCCTGGCATTAGCGAAGTGTAATCATTCGGTGCACTCAGGTGTCTATTTTATATTTTTGAGCAAGATATGTTAAGTGCCAGGTGCCAGGTACCAGCCCCAGAAATTGAAGTCCTTTTTACAGAGACTGGCACCTTGATGGGGTAAGCTTCCTACTCTGCCCTACCAACTTGCTTCCACTCTGAGCAATAGGACCAACTTCGAGTGTCTATTCCATCTATGGCATCCTGTGATGAGATATCAAGCAAGGGTGTCAGTTGTGTCCCTGTTGAATGCACCAACTCATTTCACAACCATTGGCTATTGTTCTTGGTTATTCCCAAACTAGGTGGATTTGAACCAGTGACTAGGAGCTGAAAGAGCCAGTTAAATCCCACAAGCTGTTTAGACTCTCATCCGATATTTTGTCATCTTTTTGCTTTTAAGGAGGTTGCTGTGAATTCCAACCAGGAGATGACAAAACCTGTGTTGCATGCTACTGCTTCACTTTCCACCCAGTTTTGGTACACTTACCTGCTTGCAGTTCCAGGCACAACGTCACAGCATAGAGATAGGGAAGCTGACTTGGATGTCTCCAACAGTTTATCATCAGCTTCAAGGCAGATGGCAGAGAGGCGGTCAGTGACACAGAAGGCTTCAGCAAACTTCTTGCTGCAGTCAGAACATGCAGTTTCCGGCGAGGAGGAGGAGAACCAAGAGGAGGTTACTGGAAATACACTTCCATGGGTGACCAGACCCATGCCTGATGCTGCTGTTCCTGGGAAAGGAGCAGAACACCCCAGAAAAGGGGGACAATTCATAGCAGCCCAACTTGGCATTCTCCTTGGCTGTACAGCTGCCCTCGGCATGGCCCTGGCTGCTGGGCTGCGCTGCATCCATGCCCAGTATTGTCACAAGCGAACAGAAGTGTCCTTTAGTGAACCAGACAATGATGTCATCACAATGAGAGAGGGTGGGGAGATGATGCAATTCAGGAAGATACGGGAAAACAGCTTTGTGCTGGTGCAGGCCGAGTACAACTGGATCAGCCCATCAGGCAGTGGAAAAAAGACAGTCATCTAAAAATACCTGCAAATCCCACATAGTGCTTTATAGATTAGGTAGCGTCGTATGTAGGGCAGATGGTAAAAATTAATTGGAATGTCTAACGTGAATACAGGAAGCTGTTGTAGTGTAGCTCCTATATATAACCATCTCAGTAAATATACTCCAACTGAAAAATGATGGAAGTAGATACATGTTCTGATCACAGTACAAATGCATGCAACTCAGTTACAGATGTTATGAAAATTAGATGTTCTAAATTACAGATGCTATGAAAATATAAGTAGACGTATTGTTTAAAGTATTACACTTAACATAATAAATATTGTATAGCTACTCATTAACTGTGTTATTGTAGCCATTACATTTCCTTTGTTGCCTTAAGGTATAATCAAAAATAGAAATTCTTCCTCTGCACTTTGGTGTCGTCTCTTATTTATTCTCAGCAAAAGTTTCTGGTGGCTTATTTTCTTCTTCTAGAAAACAGACAAAGGTGATCTTAACCTCAGTTCTCACTTAAAACTTCATACATTTTGACTGTGTGAGAGAGACTTCTCAAATCGGTAAAATATTTGACACTTGAATTCAAGTTCCTGCTCAAAAACACAAAGAGATGACATGTCAGTTGAGAAAATTGATCTGAAGAAGGCAGCGGCTGGCTGGCATTATTGAAGAGATCTGAAGGAATGAAAAACAAAGCAGTAAACACTAGCTTTTGGGGAGAAACATGCCTCCATGCAGGTGTAAATGGAAAGAAAACCTTTCCTGTCCATTTACGCCTGATGAGGAGACATGTTTCGGCTAACAGCCAGCATTTCCACAGACACATATTGAGTATCCTTCTGAGGTCTTTTCAGGGAACCCCAGCAAAGGCTAGATTACAAATTAACAGCATCTTTGTACTCTGAATTTTAGCAAAACTTTTCTGATTCAGATTGTGCAGCGTTAGCTTCAGGCAGCCAACAGAATGGGCACTTACTTAGGGCCACATTGGGAGCTTATCAGAGACACATTCAATTTGCATTAAATGAAACCCATTTACAGCCTGTGAAGAGGTCATGTCCAGGGCCGGCTCCAGGCACCAGCGAAGTAAGCAGGTGCTTGGGGCGGCCAATACAAAGGGGCGGCACTCCGTCCGCTATTGGGGCGGCACATGCGGGTCTTTGGCGGGACTTCAGTAGCGGGTCCCTCAGTCCCTGTCTTCCTCTTTGAGCTGCCGCCGAATTGCTGCCGCCGAAGAATGGAGCGGCACGATTGAGCTGCCGCTGAAGTACCACCAATCGGCTTTTTTTTTTTTCCCTGCCGCTTGGGGCGGCGGAAAACCTGGAGCTGGCCCTGGTCATGTCACAGCATGCAATGCTCCATCTTAACCTAAGCAGACTTTGCCAGGACCTGTATGGGCTACACCTCTTTACTGAAAGATGAGGACGCATGCAGGGTGTCACATAGAACTCAATGGATCATCCCAAGGCTAACTGTACCATCTTATCTTTGATAGTGACCATGAGACTGACTATACTCTGACTTACACTTTGTACAGCTTCACTTTGCTTTGCACACTGTCTTCAACAGTAACAACAAGGAGTCCGGTGGCACCTTAAATCTGTTAGTCTTTAAGGTGCCACCGGACTCCTTGTTGTTTTTGTGGATACAGACTAACATGGCTACCCCCTGATACTTGACACCAGGTCTTAGGGGGGTAAGTCAGCCCAGAAATTCCCTACTATGCCTATTCTTGAAATGTGATGAGCATAATGGATTTAGTTCGTTTGCCAATACATTTTTGTATCCTACTTCTCTATGCAGAAGGAGTTTGATTTTTTCAGTACTATGATCGGTGGTCTTAAATGTTGCAGTCCATATGTGGCCAAATTCTTCTGAAACTAACTTCACACGCACAGTGAACTAGAGACACAGTGGATGGAGAAAGGTCTAGCTATGTGGAACTATCCAAATGCACAAAAATGTATAAAAGTAAACTTGACAGGCTGAATCGTTCTTTATTATTACAAGGAAATTATTCCAATGACAACATCTGCATCCTTTCACTGCAGAATAAGCAAATCTTGGGCATAAAATGCTTTTTGTGAAATATTTTTGTTGCAAAACTCAGTAAAAAGCTGTTATTAAATAGCAATTATTGTAAGTGAATGTTCTTACATTCATTATGTTAGATGAGCAGGGTGCTTATGCATTATCTATTAGGAAGTCTATAGACTTACAAGGGGAAAAAAGTTCATTCGTCCAACACGCAGAACACTTTTTCTGGTACAGGTATTTCCAACTGAGATTCTGTCCTATGTCACCCTTTAAAAAAAATTACAACTTTATATAACCCAATATAGGTGAACTGTAGTTTCTAAAGCAGACTGTAGTCAAGTCATTGTTAATGCATCCAAAAAAGTCCTAATTAACTGAGAAAATAGGTCAACAAGCTAGTAAATATTTAAACAACTATCACATTTTATTTAAAAAGTTTCCTATGACGGCTTAGCAGTTTATGAATAAATTACAAATGCTTATGTCCTCTCTCACCATTTTTCTGCCTGTCCATGTTTCACATTATCAGATAGTTATAGCTTAGAAAGCTTAACTCTCCCACCCCCACCTTTTAGCAGGTTAATTGGTGAAAGCAAAGGACACCAGAGTTGGGAAAGATTTGGTTAGCATGATGGGATTTGGTGGAGACATGGGTCAAATCCTACTTTGTTACATTCACGCAAATCCATTTTTTATTATTCCTGACTAATATTTGCATTGTAGTAGTGCCTAGGAACCCTAGTTATGGACCATGATCCCACTATGTTAGGCACTTTACAAACACAGGACAAAAAGATGGTCCCTGTCCCACAGAGCTTGCAATCTAAGTAATTGTTACCCTCCCCACCGGTTGTCCAGGGCAGTGGTTGGTGGTGAGATTTGCACACCAAGAGTTCATCTAAATTGATGCTGGGAATGACTAACGTGAATATGCGCATTTTGCCGGGCCGCTGAAGAGCCCATTGTTTTTGTGCTTCTGAATGATGTATCTTTTATTATAATCTCTAATATTTAATACCTACATATAGGGCTTTTCTTCTGTCATTTATAAATATCAGTACATTAACTTATTAAAATTCAAATCACATTTTGAGTAACAAGTGAAAATTTATTTCCCCCTCTCTCAACAAACTGCTGATATTAACATGGGGGTGGCAAAAAACTTGAATGTATGCATTTGACTTTATTTTTACTACAGGATCCCAATGCTTACACCACAAATTGGCAGAAGGTGGTCTGTAAGTTGTTTTAGGCTGGCATTGTGCAGCAAAGTGACGGTGTTTGCATGAGGATCATTGGTGGAAGAGCAACAAAGAACAGAAGGTCAGTTCTAATAAGTATCCATTCCAAGTTGTAGCGCTGGGCTACACAACTAAAGGACATCAAACACGATTCCTGTGCCACCTGTATTGGTTGTCCAAAGCCTTTGCAACAATCCTCTAACCTTATCTGCTCTACATTTAAAAAATAAAAGCTTTAGCAATAAAAAATTCTTTCAAGCTAACCTCTGTACAGATACACCCATTCTTCTCCTTATCTGCTTACTGTAAATGTCTCTTCCCTGACACCCCCCATGCCATCCCTCTCCTGCCTGTACAAACCACTGCTGCTCAGATCATCTTCCTGGCATGGTGATCTGTCTATTTTTGAATATCTTCATTGGCTCACTCTTTTCCAGTGTCACGGTCTAACTTCAACTGCAGCTCAACTTCCAGACTCTGAATAATTCTGCCCCTTACCGTTGGACATTGGGTCTTCATGCTATGCCACCTCTGCTCCACCTGGGGCTCTCCAGCATTCACAGAACTCTTGGCTACCCTGTTGGCTCAGCTTTACTAACGTAGTGCAGGATAAAGACTCTGGCTCCAAGAACATAGTGCAGTCATGTTGTTTTTTGGGAAGTTGTTGAATTGGAGAAAACATCTGAGGTCCAGGGCCCAAGTACATCCTAGCCTCACTATTTCCAATGGGGAGACTGTCTGAGAGACCAACCCTTTAGGAAAGAATCCAGGGTGAAATCCTGGACCCACTGACATCAGTGGGATTTTTGCCATTGACTTCAGTGGAGCCAGGATTACCCCTATGGCCAAAATGTACTGTCAGTCCCCTTGACTTCAGCTACAACCATAATTCTGGTGACTGGTACAACAGGGCTGCAGAAGCTCATGCTGATGAATGCAGTCATCAACAAAAGCAGTGTTATTCACAAACTGAGTTCAAATGAGCCCCTCCCCCCCCCCTGAATTTTGCCTGTGTCACTGGGTATATCTACACGGCAAAAAAACCCAGACCTGCAGCAGTGAGTCTCAGAGCCTGGATCAACTGACGAAGCCTCATGGGGCTCATATTGCGCTGTTCAAACTAGCAGTGTAGGCTTGGGCTGGAGCCTGGGCTCTGAAACTCCAGGAGGGGAGAGGGTCTCTGAGCCTGGGCTCCAGCCCAAGCCCAAATGTTGACATTGCTATTTTTAGCACTGCAGCATGAACCCCGTGAGCCTGAGCTCAGGATCTGAGACTCGCTGCTGTGGGTTTTTTTTTTTTTTTTGCTGTGTAGAAATATCCACTGAGATCTGGCTGGACGACTCTGCCAGCCCGGGATTGGCTCAGTTCTCCAGGCTACTCAATACAACACAGGCCAACTGAGGTGAAGCAGCCATGTTATTCTTATGGGACCTCAGATGCAAAAGAGGACACACACTGCAGACTAAAGCATTCGATGTGTTCATGCCGTGCAAGTCCAGGGGCAGAAGAAAACATGGTCTGAGAACCTGGGGGTGAGGTTTCCTCTCCTCCTATTTCCCTGCCAATCTGCCTAGTGCCCAATCCAGCTACTTGGTCTGGATGTTGTGCTGAGAAGTTGCCTTTATTTACGCACAGACATTTAAAAATGCCCATGCAAAGAGCTCTAGATGCCCTAACAATTCTCTAGATCTACAATCACAACTGAGTACCCAATAGCAAAACCTAATTGTATACAGCTAAAGCAACCCAAACAGCCAATAAATTGAAGCAGCAAAAACAGCTCTTTAACCCTCCCCCCTCCCCCAAAAAACAGACCCTCAACCTTTCCCAAAAGCCCTGTCAGATAAATGGCTTTTGCATCATGTTCAGAAGGTTATTGAGTTTGGGCTTTTAATGAGTAAAGACCTATGTACAGCCCCATTTCAATTCCTTAACCCCCTCCCTGATGTGCCATGCTGTGAAGTCTTGTCTTGTCACACAGCAGCAGAGAAGCACTTTCTAATCTTGCTAGTTCCCTCTATTCACCTGGGGTATCACAATACTCCCTGCCTATCTGAACTTTCCCCCCTGCCTCCCTTTCAGTCACTGAATCATTTCCTCTCTTCAGATCTCATTTCCAGAATGCTCT